TTTCTTACAGAACATTTAAGTCTGTATTCTGCTAAAAAGGCTGTATAAATCTTCAAACTTGTTTTCTATTTCGAAACTTGGAAGTGTAAGCTTGATTTCTGATATGGACATCAGGGATAAGTAATTTTAATTATACCTAAATCTACAGATTTGAGTGCTATTATCGTAAAGTCTTTATTCACTAGAAGAACAGGTGCTGTAAAGACTTTGTTATTAATATACACACAAATCTATAATGGTAATGAATCTCAGCTCGGTAATGACCTAATTTTGAGTACTGGAAAGAATCCCAGTAGATCACTCCAATTTTGAGGTAAATAGAGTGGTCCGAAGAAGAAATAGTATCGAATATGAAAAACATGAATTTACATTTTTTTATACAAATTAATAATGTTAATTGTTTTTAAAAGCGTACGAACCTCATTTAACTGTTTGATAAAATAATACAATGAATACATTTAAAAAAATTATTATACAGTGATTTGAACTTTGAACCATAGGAGGCTGACTTAGTATATACTAGCATCTCCAAAACTTGGCTCATTTTTCACTGTCTTTCACCAAATGAGCTATCTATTCTTCATATTTACAAGAGTTAACAAGTAGATTTTTGTTTAAAGTGAACAAGTCTTTGCATATGCAACAACAAATAAATAAATAACAAATAAATGCTAAATTCAAACCAGATATGCTAGAGTGGCAGAAACACTAAGTTGGTCCCTGACTGAGATCGAAAAAGTCTCAGGTTTAAGATCCAAAATAAAGCGACTTACAAGTTTGCGCACTATTTAGGGCTCCCAATATTATACATGTGTTATTAAATGATGCCAGACAATCTTAATGGAAAGCATCAAGAAGAAAAAACTGGCCGAGTGGTCTTCATGCTTCGCTAAAAGCTCTGTAACATGGAGGTAGTGGATTCGAATTCCACAGTAACCATGAATGCCTCTTTATGATGTCCTTAACCTTGTGCTATCTGCTCAACTTAACAAGACCTTACAAGTCGTACTTTGTAGTGAGCGCATGAACCTAAATCTGCATGTTTACCGTCCACAGTGAACGAAGTCAAGCATCACTGGCAGCGGTCAGTGAACGGTTGGGTAACCACTTTGATCAGACTGCGAAGGAACGGAGGGTATCAACCCTCATTAAACTGTTCTATTGTTCGAATTCACGTGGAGTTTATTGGGCTACTAAAGTAGAGGATCCATCTCTCTGCAAAGGATCAAAATTGGGATATCTTCTACAGGGTTGTTTCGAAGACTGTCATCAATTGTCCAATTTGCAACTCTAGTGCGAAGCAACTATTGCTACTACATATGTGTAAAAACAAATAAATAACTAATTAGTTAGTCCCGCAGTGGACGGATCATTAAGACATGGTTCCCAGCAGATCACCGAAGTTAAGCATCACTGGCTGCGGTCAACGTGCGGGTGGGTGACCACTTGGATTAGTCTGCGTAGGGACAGAGGGTGTGCGGTATGGGTCCTTGTTAAAGTGTTCTACCGTAAAGTGTACGACTTCGCATGTAGGTCATCTGGCTAGAAGCGGAGGTTCCATCCCCTCTACACAGGATCAAAATTGTGATGGCATGTTTTCGGATCATCCTCAAGAATGTTTCCCAGACCGTCGCCAATAGTCCATTGTGCAGCTCTAGTGCGACGTAAATGATAACAACAAATAAGTAGTTATGCCTCCCTGGCTGAGCGGTATCACCCGCCAAACGTTGTGCAAAGCGTGGAGGTAGCGGGTTCGAATCTCGCTGTTACCCTGTGTATGTGTGATTGTAAAATGACAGACCAGGTAAAATTAATTACCAAAAAAGAAAAGAGAAAGAAAAAAAAATAATAATGTAAAATTTAAACCCTGACAAATTATTTTATTCTGCTTAATAATATATTGAACAATAATCATAATACTGAATAATAATTGAATTTTCACAAATAAACTGAATTAATTTTGTAACAGTAATCAAGTTTGTTAATAAGATAGCAGCAATATGTATTTAGTTGATTATACATGAAAACGATTTCAGACAGTTCAGCACAACGATTGACAACAAAACATAAAATATGACTCACCTCGAAATTAATGTAACTAATCATATAATAGCTATCGAAAACAACTAATCTTTAACGTATTATCGTAATATCTTTTGGGAGCTTTTCCCGAAAGGGAAAATATTAAAAACCACATCGAATTCGTACATTAATTCGCGCACGTGGCGAAAAACAAAGTAAAGGTAAGGGTTCGAAAAAAAACTTACTACTGCGCAGACTGCTACAAAAATTAAGCTGACATCTCTGAATTAGAATTAAAACAAAATAAATGATATTTACTGAATTAATGCTGCTATCTTTTAAAAGTTACAATTAAGTTTTAAAGCACTAAATTCAAATTGAAAATTAATTGAATATTGGTGAAGTTTTAAAACTAAACACCCTGGATGTAACAATCTTTGATATAACTTCGTGCTGTCCCCTTCAGTAAGTACTGATCTACTTCCCATCACAGCAACATCTCCTTTGGGTGCTCCGAAAATCCACTTATAAAACCATTAAATATCTATTTTTTCTAGCTAAATTTTAACAAAAACAGGATCAAATCGCTCAAGGCATCCTTGGTGAGTCTTTTCCGGCCTCTGGGAGGACTATTTTTCCTTAATTGAGATTTTGAAATCCGATGTTCCATTGATTTAGGCTTAGAGTACCAGACCGCCATATTAATGTGTCATCCACTGCAAGTGGAATCCATCGCTAACTTTGGCTTCAAAATTTTTTAATTTATGCTCATCAGTTTTGGATCAAAATACTTCTTTGCAATCGCTCATACGATTACCTTTCTGATTTTTTAACGCTCTTTATTTCCGGTGGTCTGGTACTTTTATTAATAGTATCATTTTAAAATATGACGAGATTCGTGTATAGGATTTCGCTATGCTAATGTTCGCCATTTTGTAAATGCTGACTTTGGACACTCTATTTAATATTTTTTGGATTGTATTTTTCTCTAAATTTTTTATATGTTATTCTCCCAATTGTTTTTGAACTTACGGTATTTATCTTTTTCATTTTAACCCACCCTGTGCTTTTTGATAATTTTTTAAAGTTACATCACTTTTCCGTTAAAACGATGTTCTATTCCCCATAACAAATTGTAAACCATCTTCATGATGAAAAACACAGTTAAGTGCTTATCATCAAGCCAGACCCATTAAATTCTTAACATTTCTAATTAAAAAATTTTAAAATCTTCCAATAGTAATTGCAAAATAGTGTTGTCATGTGTCAATACCATAGTCAGTGTTTACATATTTATTATGTACAGTTTTCATTATCCACATAGGTTCCTGCAATGCTTTTCCAAGTCATCGCACATAAGTTAGGGCTTCATATTATCTTTCTTATATGACGGCATGCTTGTTATTAAAATGTTTACTTACTTTGTCTCCGTTTATTATACTTAACTTTGTACAATGCATTTTATTACTTGCATACATTGCTTAGGGTTTTGATATTGTGGATATACAGATGCTGGCTCATTTAACAGACCTTATAGTTTTTGCTGCTTGAAGAGAACCATCCCTGGCCATTTTCTTAACTGATGTTTTTATCTACACTTTTTATTGTTTTAGCCTTGTTTATTTATTATTTTTATTATTGAACTTGACATACCGATTCCCTGTACCAATTTCTTATGGTTTTTTAAGTAGACTATCCTGGCCAAGTACAATTTTTTTTATCTTTATTGCTTTCATATTTATACTTGTTTCAAATATATTTCATATGTAGCTATGCATTATCATTGTTTTTTATTATCTTTTTACATCACACAATTCAACCGAATATTAGCATGTTTTTCTTTTCCCACATTAGTTGGGGCTATAGTAATTTACTATTATTTTAAGACTTAGTCTTCTTATCATCCTCATACATTTTAAATAGTGCTCGACTGTCACCATCAGCTGCTCATACTTTTAATTTCAATTGCTTATTGCTTAATTGTTTTTGTAATTTCAATTGCTTAAACATCACTACTTTCGATAACAATGTTTCAATTTTAAAATTCTTGGTTTTTCTCGCTTCGATCACCGGACTCACTTTTTAATATTCTGTTTATTACAGGTATTTAGATCATCTAAGGTCATATCCTGCTATATCATGCTGTTCAAAATTAAAATTAAATTTTTTTATGCTCGCTCCGACCACCGGCCCCATTTCTGCGTTATGTTTCCTTTCAGTTTTCCGGATAACTAATGCTCATTCATTATTATTTTTATGAATAATAATTTAAATTTAACATTTTAGACCTTCTCACGCCGACCACCAGACCCATTTTTTAATTTTCTGTTTATTTACAGGTTTTTAGTTGTTCTAAGGTTATATCCCACCATACTAGGTTTTTAACATTAAAATTAAATTTTCACACTCTCGCTCTGACCACTGGCCACATTTTTGATTTTTTGCTTCTTTGTAGTTTTCCGATTATCTCATGCTCAATCATTAATTTTTATCAAAAACACTGATTTAAAATTAACATTTTTGGATCTTCTCGCTCCGACCACCGGACCCACATTTTAATTTTCTGTTAATACACAGGTTTTTAGATCATCTATGGGCATATCCCACCATATCAGGTTATTTAACATTAAAATTAAATTTTATAATGCTCGCTCCGACCACTAGCCCATTTTTGTTTTTATGTTTATTCAACATTTTTGGAGCTTCTCACTCCGACCTCCGGACCCACGTTTTAACTATCTGTTTTTTTATATGTTTTTGTTCAACTAATTTCAATTGCAAATTCCATCTCGCGTGCAGCTGGTGGTGGCTTCAGCAAGCATCATAGCATCAATGGAACATCGACTTTTCCTTTCTCTTTTAGTTTTCTAATTGTTAGGCCTGAGGCTTCTTAGGGGCCCGGAATGGGCTCACCATCACCATTATTCTAATAGTTCAAATTAATTTTCCTTATTCTGCATTCTCTTTATTTTACCTAGGAGATTTTCAAACTTGTTATACAAATTATGGACAAACACTTGAACTCCGATCTTGGTTGGAGCTCACATGGCCACAATACGACAGCACAGATAAAATCTACTAGAACAATCACCATGGAGAACATACCATCATCTTGCCCATCAAGGAACTTTCAAAATTTTGTCACGAGATCAGGTTCGCCACATACGAGTCCCACATCTCAAACTTCTAATATCGATCTTGAGCAAAATGTTTCAGATGTTGAATCAACAACAGACGCACAAGAAGATCCACAAACAGTTGACATCGTCATGACTAACAAAGATTTTGAGGAACTATTCTCAATGATCGAATCAAGTCTGAACTATGGTAACAAACAAAAAGCATATTTCTGTCTTCCAACGGTCCCCAGANTTTACTTGTAAGGCACAGAAAGTCGGATTTCTATCAAAACTTCATACTCAGATTGATTTAAATCAATTTATGAATTTGAAGATACATATTTTTTGCTTTATAAAGATATTAATGTTATATTTTCTAAAAATGATCGCTCAAATAACGAAAGATTTCTTAGTTTAAAAATAAGCTCGTTAAAAATTGTTTGCATGCTTAAAACAAAGTGCTAAATAAATGAAGAAAAAAAAGGCTTTTGAAACACTATTTTTTATCATTATTATTTCACATAAATATGTTAAATTGAAGTATTTCCGAATTCTGACCAAAAAAACAAAGTAAGGTTTAATTTCTTAAAAATAAAAACAAAATAATTATGATATTCGATAATATATTTAACTGACTATATTGAAAGAAAATTAAAAAAACACGATTATACTCTTTATTAAAACGAAGTGCTAAATGATTAAAAAAAAAAAGGAAGTCTCAAACCTTACTAATTTTTTTGAATAAACAAATTTGATTGACTTATGTCCTAATCCGAAAGAGGAAAAATAAGTTTTGTTATAATTTTATTTATAAAAATAAAAACAACTAAAGATTTATAAATTTAAAATCAGTCATAAAAACCCATTAAATTATCAGAAGTTTTGTCCAAAAAATTTTTAATAAATTAAAATAAAGTAAAAAATAGCCTAACAAATTTAATTACTTCGTAATTTAATTCTTTATGGGCACCTTAAATTAGATTTCCGACTGCAATAAATTCAATAATGTAAAAAATTACTATATAATATAAAAATTAATTTTCACATTTAAAAATAAAAAAAACGTTCTGTTTTAAAAAAATTTTACCTAATTAATTAAGAAACCATTCTTTATATATTTTTTTCAATAATAGATTACGTTCAGAACAAGGTAACGACGGCGATCACAAAGTCTGTCCCACGGAAAATAATCTACAAGAAACGATATCAAGTCGCGACAAAGTAAAAGAAAAAAACTATGAGGCGCGAAAACGATATATATTCTCAAAACTATGGTTCTGATTCTACCACTATTCAATCAAGGCCATTTCAACATAACGAAGCGAGCATCGTCTTCCACAGCGCGAGTTGGCATCGGAATGTAAGAGAGCTCCTTGCGTGTCTTGTATCGTTATATCGTTTTGCGTTCGTCTTCTTTACTCGACGGCTTAAATCAGATTTCTGAAGCATCGCCTGGAACGAAAGTAGCTGTATCGATATATCGTTATATCGTTTTGCGTTCGTCTTCTTTCCTCGACGGCTTAAATCCGATTTCTGATGCATCGCTTGGAACGAAAGTCGCTGTATCGGCCTGCCGATATAGGCGTTAAATCGATATGTCGCGATATATCGATTTATAGCCCAGTCCTAATTCTAACAGATATATTCAACACCAATTGTCCCACGAAGGAAGCGCAGCATGAATAAGAATACACATAATTTTGACACATAAATTTTGATTACATCAATAATCAGTTAGATCCTCCATTCAATCATAGCAAACTTAAATTGCTCATCAAAACTTTTAATAATAAAGCCCCTGGCATTGACGGAATTGACTATATTAAAACCCTCTTTCAATTTTTTCCCAATCTTCTCTTAAAATATTTTAATAAATGTGCAGACTTTGCAGACTTTCCCAGACCATTTTAAAAAGAGTCTGGTCCTTTTGTTTCTTAAATCTGGCAAGGACCCCAAATCTCTAAGCTCTTATAGACCAATTACTTTATTACCCTGTCAGGGAAAATTTTTGGAAAAATTATTAACAAAAAGGATAAACTTTCATATGGAACATTTAGGCATTTTATCAGAAGTTCAACATGGCTTCAGATTCGGCAAATCGATAAATCACGCTCTTCATAATTTTCTTGATAAACTTAACAACTTAAAAATTAATGATAAACATGTAGCAGCAATCTCATTAGATATAAAAGGAGATTTCGACAACATCTAGTACCCACTCATTTATAAAGAAATTTCTACAACCCTAATTTCGAAAAATCTATTCAAACTTATTGAAAGTTTTAACTCAAATCGTAAAGCCATCATTATAACAAACAAAGACTGTGTCTGCAAGAATATTTTAAAAGGTTGTCCACAAGGCTCCTGCTTTGGACCCACAGCCTGGAATCTCGTTATCAACAGCTTATTAAGATTACCTAATAAAAACTTCCATATTCAGGCTTTCGCAGATGATATTATCATAATAACATACGCTAAGTCTAGAAGAGAACTAGAGGAAAAAACTAATTCCACTTTAAATTGAATTCTAGTCTGGTTACAACAAAACTCACTTTCTCTCTCCATAGATTTATTCATTTTAAAAACTCGAATCGTGACCCGATTTTTAAAATCAATGGTGAGAAAATATCCCCAAAAAATTACTTTAAATATCTCGGAGTGATAATTGACAAGAGCCTTTTTTGTGGTCCTCATTCAGAAATTCTGAAAGAAAAACCTAATAATCTGCTTACCTCTTTTCAAAAAATAAACTCTAAAACACGGGGTATTAACCGTTTGAGTGCTGAAGAGTTTTTTTATATATATGCTAATAATGCGGAATGAAATGCGTGCAACACTACTAACCAACTACTAACTGCTACCAACCAACTACTAACCAACCTATACTGACCAACAGCAGTGTCTCTGCACTTTTGGCTCTTCGCCGCACTCAAACGGTTAATCAAAAAGTTTGCAGTCTTCTTAATCATACAATAGTCGTCCCTTCACTTTCCCATGGTGCATATGTTTGGGCACATAATATATCACCAAGATTATCTCGTCCTCTAAACTCTATTCAGAGAAATTTCTCCTAAATTTAACACGTTCCTATCATTCCACCCCTACATCAGCCTTGCAAGTACTTACAGGCATTTCCCCACTCTCGGAACAAATTTCCTCAATCTCCTGATCAAGTAGATTATTGCAGCTAAATCAGAACATTAATTTTTATTCGAACTTTTTCGAGGCTTGTATATACGATCTTAAACGATCCATACCCGCAATCCATCCCTCTTTCAACATAAATTCGTCAATCAGCACTGAAGTCAAAAATGACTATGATCATCAAAATCTTAATAATTTCTTTATTTTTGGTTCAAAAACTGAAATTGGTACGGACTTCGCTTTCTATAACATAAATCATTCAAATCATTTTACACTGCATGTTGAAAATTTAGTTTTTCAGGCTGAACAGTTAGCCATTCTGGAATGTTCCAACTACATAAAGTCCCTACCACCTTTTTCATATTCAAAAATTTTTTCTATTTGGTCAAATTCTAAATCTGCAATCCTGTCTCTCTTAAATCTCAATTCTGAAAATAATCTTACCATAAAGATTATTAAGAATATTTCTGGGACAAATATTAAAATTTCGTGGATTAAAGCTCACACTGGCCTAATAGGAAATGAGTTTGCAGATCGCCTAGCAAAAGAATCTACATATCATCCACAAAATTATAATTATCCTCTTCTAATTTAAAGTCTCAAAAGACAATTTCGTATTCTTTTAAACAAACATTGGCAATTACTTTGGGATGACAGCACAACTGGTAGATGTCTCTACAACATTTTCAATAGAGTCAACTATTTTAAAAATATACCCTCAAAATACGAAATTTAGTCCCTAACAGGTCATGGCTACTTTCCTTGGTATTTAAACTGCCTCAATCTGTCTGATAGTAATTTCTGCCCTTGTGGTTATATAAGGCACTCCCGAGCACTATCTGACGAACCGAACTGTCTCTTCACATTATTTTGGCATACAAGACTCCCTCCTATTAACAATACTGCCCACTGGCAAAAAGCTTTCTGAACGAATAAAATTTTGAACTTAAAACTACATAACGTAATGATTTTCCTTGCGGAAAATGATTATTTACTCAAACTCTAAATTTCCATCTCTCTCACTAAATTTTATTTTTTTCTCTTCATTTCTTTTACCCCTCCTCATTAACATTTTCTTTTTTTCCCTCTTTACTTTTTACTTGTGTCAAAATTTTAATTTCTATCAAATGTGTTTCTGTTGTAAATTCTCACACATTCTCTTTCTCTTTAACTCTTATTCTAGTTTGTAAAAAAAATGATTTTCATTATGATGTCATTGTTCTGTCATCATTTTGCATATGTTAATATTTCTCTTTTATGTTTTTTACATGTATGCTATTTTGTATTATTCCTATTAATATTGTTCTCATGGATTTTTGCATATCTAGATGTTGCAAAATTTTGTAAATTATTTGTTTTATTTCAAAATCTTAATAAACCGCAATATCCAGCTTCTATTGCGCCCTCTGTTGTGCCTGTTTGCGGGCTGGGTAAGGTTTTCCTTCCTCGCTGGACTTTCCAAGTGTTGTTGTCGGGGTTGTGGTGGAACTGGATTAATAGCCAGGCGTGGACAATTCGGTTAAGAATTTTAAGTAATCTATGTACGAGTCGTCCTTTTCTGTATTGTAATATCTGTCTTTTTATCGACAAATGTATATAAGCCTAAATTAAGCACACAAGCCTGCAAATGTAGGTATGTATTTCCAATAAATAAGTAGTTTAAGCATCAATATTATCTTTATTTCGAGAGTTTACACTTTGATGAAAATTTGGCTTCTAATTTAGGAAAAAAGGAAGAAACAGGGGTCATTTTGTGTTTTCATATTTTTATATATTCTGTGAGATTTGAACTTTTAACCGATTTTAATAAATTTATCAATCTTTAATTTTGTAAGTAATGATTTTTTGAAATTTTTTTGGTAAAATACTTTTCTTCTACCTCATTTTATGTTCTTCACTTAGTAAATGTTGTTTACTTGTTCATTTGGTAAAAAGTCAACTGCGATATCTTGGAAAAGGGGGTGTTGAAAGAAATAATCCGATAAAAGCTGGGTTGGAGAAATGTGTGTCATTGAAGCCTTATAAAAGCCCGATTCTTACTAAGTTGTTATAGAAAAAAAAAGA